GAGAGTTGCAGCGGCAGAACAGACCTGTGACCCTTTCCTTCTGTCCTGCTTTTCTTTCTTTTCCTGGTCTGTTCACTGCTTGCCATTGTGCCATAGTCCCTGCTTCTGTGTTTATCAGGCTACTGGAGCTGCTGCCGGGTAGACCAGCTCGACAGCATCCTTTGAATGGAGTCTATGTTCTTCGTGTATGCAAAGCACAGGGATACTCCCATGATCCTTTGAGTCTACCTCGCTTTGCTGGGAGCCCTGGAGTTCTGTGGAAGAGTGGAGAACCCTGAGTTACCCCTGAGGGTTGTACATACTTATGTGATAAAGTGCAGGCTTGGGGCCTGTTTCTAGATGTTCTTCTCTAGGGAGGGACACCGTGGTCCCCTAAGGGCTGGAAAATTCCGAAAGAGTGGGGTAGAACCCGCAGGTGGACCTGACCGTCCCAAAGAAAGAACAGCTCACAATACAGGGTCTGGCACAAATAATGCCCCTTTTAATTACCTAAAAATGTTTTGCTACAAAATCATAAGCATGTGATTCTGTAACATAACAACATCGCACTCTAGTACACCACATGACACTTGACGTGGAATGTTCAAATTGCCGTCCATCCCGTGGGAGACACTCGTGTACCCTACCAGCCACACTCAGCCACGTTACCTCTGCCGGACCCTGTGGAGGGAGAGGCTGCTTTTGACTCCACTGCCAGGCGGCTCCTTGTAGGAGGAAAGCGCAGGTGGTTAGAAGGGACAGGCATTTGCTTGCTGGCTGCAGGTTGGAGCCACCACCAGTGCCCTGCAGGTGGCGGCAGCAAGAGGCCCAGGGAGTGGCTGTGAAAGTGGCTGTCACAGGTCCCCTTAGAGTGTTGGGAGGCCGGGAGGTGAGGGGTGGACGACTGACCCAGTAGACTAGGGACGAACTGTTAATGTCACCTTGCTTGGGATGTATAAGCTGGGATGTCCGGAGGGATGACTGTGAGCCCTCCAAAATCTTGCATAGAAGAAGGCAGAGAATTGGTTTATTTAGACCATTCATTAAAATTTATCAATAACTTCTCTCTGTGCTTTGGCACATCTCTATGGAAGTGTTTTCTGCATTGCCCCTTGAGTTGCTGTGGCTGTCTTTCCCGATACTCTGCAGACTTCATGAGGGTAAGAAACATCTCTGTTGATTCTGTGCAGAGAACCTGTAAAAAAGGACTTTGTTGACTGTTCCTAGAATGAGCAAGGGAATGGATTCCAGTGGGAGAGACCCAATCTTGTTAGAAGTTCATTACCTTTCTTCTCTCCTCTCATTACCTTGTAAGTGAAAGGTTTTGTTCTTGGTCTGGGGGAGTCCATTCTCTCTCTGGTCTGTGAGAAAGAGCATGGATTCTGTGGTTAAGTGGCAATGGGTTTAAACCTGGCTCCAGTACTTCTCTTCTGTGTGACCTGAACAGGTCACTTAACTCCTTGATGTACCAATGACTTTATTTAAAGTAGGGATAAAAGTCTACTTCACAAGGTTGCGAGGGTTCACTGAGAGCAACTAAGATGGCATCTATGGTCAATGCCTAGTGTATTCCTGGCATGGAGCAGATGCACAAGAGACCGCGATTCTCAGCTTAGTCAGGATGGGCAAGGGTCTGCTGTGGTAACAGCTAACCCCAAGGCGTCAGTGCTGTAAGACAAGAAAAGCTGCTGTTTTGCTCTTGAAACGTTGAATGCCAATATTACTTGCTCAGGTGACTCTCCGGCTGGCTGTCATCCAATGACTGTCCCAGGAATCCAGATATCTTTCTTCCTTTGGTGCCAGCACCTTCAACAATAGCTTTGAAGGTCCGGCAGGACAGCCAGGACAGGTGAGAAGGACGCTTGGAAGGCATGTTTTTTATGGGCTGGTCCTGCAATGGTGGATTTCCCTTTGTTACGTATTTCCAGGGTGCGTCACGTGGTCTTCCCCAGATGCAAGGCGGCCTGGACACATGGTGTCCTTGGGTGCACCAAAGAGAAGACCTGAACTGTGTGCTGTACAGTGAGATTTGCACTGTCCTGGCCACAGTTTTTGTCTCTACCCCCAGAGGCTGATCTCACCGGAGGACCGATTCTCAGTGGTAATTCCCAGGAGCGCTGCAGAGGCCGCAGGCGACCTTTGCTGACAGTTTCAGCGCATCAGGGTCTGTCTGTGAATGCTGTTGACCTGATTCATTTGTCTCCCGCAGGCCAGGCTCCATTGGGGTGATGGCAATTTAGGGAGAGGAGGGTGACCCTCTTAGAGCCACCACAGGTGCTGCCGCACTGTTTTTTACATTTTAAATGCAGTATGTTGGTTTTTCATATCGGGGGCACTCCCTCTGCTGTTCCGGTCAGAGAAGGTTTATAGATGTGATTTGGAAGAATCGTTGAGAATTCGTCAGGCAGATGGTGTGGGTTGGCGGCTTTGTAGGTATGAGTGGCAAGTGGGAGACTTGGAAGAGCAGGTCGCGTTGGGGGACTGGTATGGGGTCACAGTTCCTCATGTGTGGCTGGCCTGGGTCTGCAGCCCATTAGCACTTATTGGTTCATTCATTCAATATTTATTAAGCCCTTACTATGTGCCAGAACTGTTTCCACTTGATGTCTAGTGGAAGTTGGTTGATTGCCTCCCTCCCTCCTTGCCTTTTACAGGTCATCCTTTTCTGGCCCTGGCTGGTATGGCTCAGTTGGTTGGGTGTCAGTCCCCAAACCAAAAAGTTGCTGGTTCGATTCTCTGTTGGGGCACATCCCCGGGTTGTGGGTTTGGGGAGGCAACCAATCGATGTTCTTCTCCCTCTCTTTCTCTCTCCCTTCCTCTCGCCCTAAAATCAAAAATAAAATTAAAGAAATACTTTTTTTTAAAAAAGGTCATGCTTTTCCATAGTATCTGGGGCCACGTATCCTCTGTTACCGGCTCCTCACCTTTCCCCTGGCCCTCGCATCCTCGCCTGTCGATCCATGTTGATCCACATCGGTCACTGCCCTTCTGCTCGTGCTTCCCCAGAGCACCAGCAGCACGTGGCTGTCCTGTGCAGCCAGGTCCCCAGAGGAGCTGGGTGTAGTGGAGGGACATGACAGGATGATGGGACCGTTTCCAACTCGGGGTCAGACGGGCTTCCTGGACTGGCTGCAGCCTCCCTCCCTAGCACACGCTGAAGTGCAGTTACTTACTAGTTTACTTGTTGACTGTCCGTCTCACTAAATCATGGTAGCATGCCTCTTTTGTAAACCACCATATATACAGCTGGGACTAGCACTCTGCTGGATCTATGCTAACTGCTCAATTAAATAATTGCTGAATTATTCAATGAACAAATGAAAGCACGTAGATATTTTCATTCCTACCACTTCCATCGGCCACTTCCCATCACAGGACACTTCTCATTGGCCGTCACCTTCGGTGGGTTTCTGCTTTCCATGGTGCCCCTTGGATCTCTCCCCCCCTCTCCTTTCTGTAGTTCTCTAGCTGCCTACACAAAACACCCCACATTTCTGTTGCCGTTTAGTGCAAACCAATTTAGTACTCAGCTGACTTCCCAACCTCTGAACTACCAAGGGGGGGTCAGCCCTCCTGCACCCAGCCTGAGACCCACTGCGGGGCTGAAGGCCAGTCTCCTGGGTTCCCGTGCACGGGAAGGAAAGGAAGGTGGAGAAAGACTTGACTTAGCCGTCTTTCTTTAGCGGTGTTGTGACCAGTTCTGTACTGACTCTGGCAGCAGAACTTCCACCACCATACGCAGAGGGGATCCTGGTGGGGGGTGCATAGGGCGGATTTTGTCCACTGCAGCGAATGGAGATGATGGTGCTGTTACCTGAGAATGCAGACATGGCCGGGGGCTGGGGGAGGCTTGTGGGGGCTGGTGGGGGCTGGTGGGGCCTGGTTTCTGTGCCTCACGCAGAGCCACATTTGGGGGTGTGTGACAGGGACCCAGTGGGAGGTGATGGTGACGCGATGAGATCCAAACTTGGAGGAGACAAGAAAGGGGCAGTGGAGAAGACGGACCAGTGTGAAACCGGGTCTGGGGAGCAGCCAGGACACCACAGTGGGACTCAGGCCAGGGGTCGCCTCTGCCTCTGTGTGTCCCCCCAGCTCCCTTGGAATGCCCTTCCTCCTGCTCTCCATCCCTGGAGATCTCGCAGTGCTCCCGGCCCTGGTCAGCGCGCCTCCTTGGGTTACTGTGGGCTCCTGTTTTTCTGGATGGACCAGCATTTCCAGAGTTACCCAGAGGGGCTTCCAGCTCATAGCACATGCTTAGTAAATTCTTGCCAAAATCTACCTGACACCTTATTGTAAAATAGTGGATGGCTTAAATTTTACAGGGGAAAGCTTTGAACACTGTCAACATTGACTTTCTCATCTGCCAGCTGCATGGTTGTGCAGTTCTTCACAAAGTTGATTTCTGCTTTGCGAAAATGATTTTTCGAGGATTGCTTTTACAGGGGGGAGGAGGTACATGTCGAGAACGCATTCTCTGCCGGTTACTTTTCGTGTGTCATTCCGTTTTAATCTGCATGGCGTTTCTGTCAGGTGGACCTTGCTCTCTCTATTACAGGAGAAGAAGCCGAGACCCAGACTTGACAGACGGCTGGAGCCGCTGGGCCGAGCCGACCCAGCTTTGCAGAGCTGAGATTTGTGTCCGGTTCTGCCGGACTCCCGAGCTAGCGCTCTCTGCCACCTCGCAGCGTCTCTCCCCGTTGCAGGAAGCGGCCGCAGAGGCATGGCCTTGCGTTCACAGCTTCCTACTTAGAATGAGATGTTGCTGTTTACTTTCTCGGGGAGGAAGATCGAAATCAATGTAACTAGCCTTATTAACTGTTTAAAACAGGGGGTACCTGCAGCTGCCAGCGCCTTTCCTGAGAGCACCAAAGCAAATATAAAAATCCAATTTGCTAGCTTTTTTCTTTGAATCTTCTCAAGAGTTTAAAATTCAAAGCTGTAAATGAAGAGCCGATGAGACGGGGTAATGAACCACGTCGCAGACATGAGGATGTATTTACCCGGATCTCTGTTGTTTGCAGGCGGCTGTTCCTTTGATGAGCACTACAGCAACTGCGGTTACAGCGTGGCCCTGGGGACCAATGGGTTCACCTGGGAGCAGATCAACACGTGGGAGAAACCAATGCTGGACCCAGCTGTGCCCACAGGTAGGCGACCCACTGTGTTTGGAGCGGTGGTGGGATGTTGTCTTATGTGAGGTCTGAGAGGGCGGTCCATAACTTTGTGGGTAGGAAATTCCCCATCCCCAGAGGTCTGCAAAGAAGGCTGAGTGAATTCTTAAGAATGTGGTAAGAATGTTACCTGGATTCAGAAACCTTCAGGATTTCATTTAGCTTTGAGATTCTAAGCTTCAGCTCCAAGTAGGGCATCACTGGATTTTGCTTGGGAGCCGGATAATAGTGGGATTTCTGGGGAAGAAGGAGCTTCTGAAGACTTGGAGGTCCTATTTTTCTTTTCAGGCCTGTATATATGTAGGGAAACTTGCACAGTGAGAATATTACTTATGAAGTTCACGTCCAGACACCCTGGACACCAGGCTTATCCTAAACCCAGGGGGCTGAAGCTGTAATGTGGATCCTCGCTGGCTGCCTGCGTGAGGCAGGCCTGTGTAAGTGCGTGCTCGAGGGGCGGTACGCCCGGAGGAGGTGTGCTCAGGGAGAACACGCACGGGCTGGGGGAGGCCGGGGTGAGCTGATGCTGTAACGCAGGGAGAATCCTGACTCTGAGAACATTAAGATCCTGTCTTTGTAAAATGGGGTCCCGGGGACAGTCGTCAGGACAGTCGGTCCTCTGTGGTTCCTCCCTGACCAGGGGCTCTCTCTGACCCTCACCCCGTCGTGGCTTTTTCCCAACCCTCCCAGCGCTTGCTCTGTGGCTCCTTGGTCACCTCACTCCGGCCATTAAACGTTGGAGTTCTGCAGGCGCCTTCCACACTCTGTGCATGTGTCTGCAGAGAAACAGGGCGACAGAGCAAGTGCAGGGAGAGATGTGCAGCAGAGGAGATTGGTTACAGGAAGTGGCTCACGTGCTTACGGAGTTGTCCTGGGAGACGTCCCGTGACCTGCCCTCTGCAAGCAGGAGGGTCAGGGGAGCTGGTGGTGGCGTTCAGTCTGGATGGAGGCCAGGGAACCACGGGGTGGCTGGTGCGAGCGCTGGTCTGAGTGTGAAAGCCCGAGACCCGGAAGCAGCAGCGTCCGAGGGCAGAAGACGATGGGCGTCTCAGCTCAGGCAGAGGAAGAGCGAATGCGCCCTTCCTCAGCCTGTCTGTTCTGCGTGGGCCCCTAGGGCCTGGGGGATGCCCACCGCACTGGGGAGGGCTGCCTGCTTCACTGCGTTCGCCTGTTCAATGCCGATCTCTTCTGGAAACACTCGCACAAGCACACCCAGAAATAAGGTTCTACCAGCTGTTTAGGCATCATGAAGTCAACCATCACACTGTGGGTGACAGCCACACCTGTGGCCTCAGGGGCCACCAGACATCTCTTTTGAACTCTGGACCTACACGACCCACTGTGCCCTGTCTTCCCAGCTGATCCTGGGGAGAGAATCCAGCTGATCTGGAGATCCTGGAATCTCCAGACGTCACTGAGGCAAGGACAGACAGGATGCTCAGAGATGGCTGTCTAACGGAGGTTATACTCCTTGTCACCTCATTGACCCGTGAGTTTGGCTCCAAAGCAAGAAGCTACTGGACAGCTGTGTACAGTCCCTGTTAAGGGCATCTGTTGTTTGGAGCAGTTTCTCCTGAGTGTGGACGTGAGCTGCGGGTATGATAAAGATGTGCCCTGGCACAAAACTGAGCTTTTCAGATCTGCTGGAGTCTTACTTTGCGTGAGCAGAGTCACCAGCGAAGACACACGCTCATTAGTAAGGTGACCATGGGACAACCTCTGTGCCTGTCGCCCCATTATAATTCATGCTCTCAAAGTGTCTTGGTTTAAATGGCAGAATCGCTTAGCCCATTAGGGACCCTGAGAATCCAGAGAATCTGTGCTGGCGTACACCACTTCTGCTCTGCTCTGCATGGCTGTCTTTGATGCTGGCTGATAAATCCAGGTCTGAGAGAGAGAGAGAGTGTGTGTGTGTGTTTACACTTTTACATGCTCCTTCTGTTCCCGGTGAGCCCACCTGAAGCCCCCCCGCAGGCCCTCCACAGTCAATGTCTCCAAAACAGACCCACCCATTCCTGTTCCCTGTCTACTCGGTCTCTAGTCCCTTGTCTCAGGAAAGGCTGCTTTGTCCACTCCGGGCCGATTCAGAAACCCAGGCTTCATACTCCTCCCTTCCCTCCCTTTATCCTCTCTGCCTGCCGGTCATTTGGTTCTGCCACTGTGCCTCCTGGGTATCTCTGCCTCTCCGCCACCACCGACCTGGTGCACATTACCATCAGCTCTTGCCTGGGTAGCTAGAAGGTTTTCCAACAGGCTTTTTGGCTTCCTCTTTCAACTTTTATCCTCTCTCCACATAGAAGCCAAAGAGATTGGTCTAGAATATGGACCTGTTCCTGTTACCTCTTTCATTTATTGTCCTTACCTTGCTTTGCTTGGAATCTTTCTTTTTTAAAAATATATTTATTTATTTTTATCGAGAGGGGGGAAGGGAAGGCGAGAGGGAGAGAAACATCAGTGTGTAGTTGCCTCTCATGTCTCCCCTACTGGAGACCTGACCTGCAACCCAGGCATGTGCCCTGACTGGGAATCGAACTGGCGACCCTTTGCTTCACAGGCCTGTGCTCAGTCCACTGAGCTACACCAGCCGGGGCTGCTTAGAATCTTTCTGAGGGTTCCTGTGGCCCTGAGAAAGAAGCCCAAACTCTGCTGTGGCCTCTGAGACCCCAAGTGGCTTGTCCTGCCCATACCTCCAGCCAGGCCACGTCCCATTCCCCTTGTGCTCATGTCACCCCGACTTCTGTCAGCTTCCAGAATGTTCTGTGCCCTCTGCTGCCTCAGAAACTCACATGAGGTCAGTACTTTTCATGGAGCCTTTTCCCCACCTGTTCTCTTATAGTTCCCCTCATGCCGCAGCTTACTTGTCACTGCCGTATGTCAGTTCTCCCAATGCCCTGCTCTGGGTCAGCTCTCTGTGCACATCTCCCATCACACCCCATGCTGTTCCTCGGTAACGTGCGCCACTGCTGATGCTCTTTGTTCGGCGTATGTCTCACCCCCAGATGAGCAGTCCCATGTGACCGGGGACCCTGACAGTCTTGTTCCCAACTTTACCTGTCCTCCTTAACACAGTGCGTCATACTTAGCATGTGCTACAGAACATTTTTGTTGGATGGAGGCACCTAGGCTGGCAAAGTCATCTTTATCACATTTTTTAAATGAGGGAATGAATGAGAAATGACATTAAATGCCTTTAGCTCTCTGTTAACCAACCACACATCTCAGTCTTGGCTATTGTCCTTCCGTTTTCCAGATCGGAGAATCAAGGTTCTGGGAGGCTGGGCGATGTTGCTGCTCTTTCCCCCCAGTGGGACCGCTGTGGCTTCTGATCTCAATTCTCTCATCCCCTCATTACGGCAGAGCGTCATTTCATAAATATTGGATTGTGCGATTATGATCTGAGCTTTTCTAAATAGAGGCATTTGATAATGATCACTGGAGTTATTGTCCGGACGCGCCCGTGGGTTTCGGCAGCTCTGCGTGCCTCTTAGGCAGAGAGGCATGAAAGTGAATTTGGATGAGGCAGAATTGTGTGTTCTTCTGGGCAAAGGCTGAGATCTTCCTTCTGCACAGGCAGTGGTCTCCCTCTGTTTGGAAGCCCAGTTGGAGTCTTTTTGTTCACGTCTCCATACCCTTTACTGACCTGCCTGTGTGTGACGGGCTCTGTGTTGGGCTCGGATATATCAGCCCGAGTTGTTTTAGCATTTATCCCTCTGGTGGCTTCCCCGGGCACCTGGGATGAAATCCAAACCCCGTGCCGTGGCCTGCACGGTCCTGTGAGACCCAGTGTCTTCTCCGAGCCCCTTTACTTCTCTCTCCAAATGCTGCAGACACACTGGTTACTTTTCAGTTCCTTGGGCACGTCAGATTCTTTCCCGGCTCAGGCCCTTGGCACTGAGATTTTCCTGCTCATTGGGATTTTTCTCCACTCTTAACCTGGCGGGTTTCTGGAGGTGTCAGCTCCAGTGACTCCTTCTCAAGGAGATTGTCCCTCATTGGTCCGTTTAAAGAAAGACTTCCCCATTGGCTCACTCACAGCCCCTTGTTCTTGGCTTTCAAAGGCCTCGTTGTAGACAGGTGTACAGACCAGCTTATTCCAGCCTCTGCCGTCGCATAGCACCTCCTGTGCTGGAGGTGCTATGAGCTGGAATCCTATGCCTCCGTTTCCTCACCTTTACCGTGGGAACCAGCGTGAGAGTTAAATGGGACGTTGCCTGTGTGGGAGTCCAGTGTCCGCACATAACAGGGTTTAATCAGTGCTGGGTCCCCTTAATTCCTTTCTGGCTCATAAGGCCTAAGTCTGTCTTAGAACCTTGCCCCCTCCTGCAAGCTCACCTGCCACCAGGCGCTGCTTTGCCAGAGTGAACCTTCCAGCAGGGGGTCTGCCGTGGGCCCCTGAGAGGCACGGAGGGACTTTACATCCCCGGGACGCGTGCCACCCCAAGGGCTTGAGCACCCCCTCCACCTCGGCTCTGCTGATGCAGTGTTCTGCACACGCCACGGTCGTATTCTGTGGGGAAGATGACCTGTCTGTGGGGAGAGTCTCAGGCTAGCACTCCAGGCCTCGGACCCAGTCCTCCCTGACACCTCGTCTTTGTTGGGGCGGTCACAGAGGGGTGGGGACTATTACACCCTGGACCTTCTCTCCAGGCCCCTCTCTTTTCCATGGAGCTACCACTGGTCCCCAGCTCTGCCCTTCTGGCCTCGGCAGGGTTTCCACAGCTTCATCCTGAGGAACAGCCCAGGGAGGGCCCCTGGGGGGCCAGGTGGAGATGCAAGTGTTGTAAGGGTCGTTTTAAAAGGGCTGAAGTTAGAGGTAATGAGGCTTGGAGGGTTCCTTCTCTTTCCTTCTAATGCTCGTAGGACATTATTTGAAGTGTTGGAATGAATTTGGATTGAATCTCAGGTTGAAAACCAAGCGCACAAGAAATACTGCATTTCTATCAAATTGAACTTGACCGTGAACCTCCATGAAGTTA